CATCTATTCCTGGCAATCCTATTGCAGCGTCAGAGTGGGGATTCAATGCTTTCTCTCCTTTTCTCCTCATCTTCTGTGCAACTGATTCTGCTCTTTATCGTATCTTCCCACAAGACTTTCACAGTCAAACAATTTCTTGCCAAGAAACAAATCAGAATTGTGCCATTCACCCTTAGAAAGGGTAAGATTTAGTAATAAAATCAGATACAATTCCAGGAAGAGATACACTGGAAAAGACTAAATCTTAAGGAATCATATGTGAGATGGTACATACGTTAGCTATAATAGGTCATTGGAATCTTACATACTGTGTGGAAAATCTCACTAGTATTGGCTAGTTTGCTTAGGAAATAAATTTTTCCTATAAATTCTTTTGTACCTATTTTATTTTAGATATCATATAATAAAGCAAGAAGTATATCATACATAAACACAAATACAAAAAGGAATTATTTCTTATACTCAATGTCAGGAATAAATTCCATCCAGTGTTGGTATTTTAATTTATAAAGCTTGTGACAAAAGCTGAAATAACTCAGAAATCATAATCAGAATGACTAGACATTAACAAAGGATTTGGGGATATAGTGCAGAAAATGTATTAATTCATACTCAGCCTTCAACAACATGAAAACAAATATGTATACTTTGCATATACAATATATGTATACCTTATTGCTCCAAGTAATTTGTGCAGAAATTCTAACAACATAGTCATGTCACCAACAGCCCACAAATCCTCTGCTTATTGCTCAGTATCTACTGGGAACTCAATATCAAAATAGTAATTGATTTTTCTTCATTATCTTGTTCAAAAAGAATTTCCATAATTGAATATATGATTGATAGAATGACCTGTAAAGTTTTCTCTCCACCTAATGGGTAGTCAACATTTGGGATAGTGAGAAGGCTGCAGTATTCCCATCAGTACTAAATTTTTCTGCTTGGATATTCAGTTCATGATTCAGTTGATTATTCAAGTCACTTTAATCATGATTCAGTTCATGATTCAAATGTGTCTACTAAGGCACATTCTGGAACTGAAGTCATCACAGAGGAAAGGTTCTGGCCTTAAGCAGCACCTTTAGCAATTTCATCTGTTGGAACCGATAGCCAAGTTTCCAACTGCTTATGAAGAGTTTTTCTTCTGACAGACATTACTCTCCAACAACTTAGTTCTGGGATTTCTTTAAGTACTGGGATAGGTGAACCTATACCCATAATGCAAGACTATGTTAGTCTTTATCCCAGAACCAGCAACCTAGACAGAGAGAACCTCAAAATATTTGATAATATACAAGAGTCACATACATGGATGGCTCTCTGAAGTGGGAAAGACAATGATGACTCAAAAAGCAGAATTTTTAGAAATCTTTGGGGCTGCAATGTGTCCACATACTGTATTTCAATAAAAATAAATGATTTTTTATTAAAAAGTAAGAAGTTTAGGCATAACATCCCTTTTTCTTTTATATTTAAATTATGGTAGCAATCATGTGTCTGGTATCAGTCTCTTTAGAAAATGCACACATGATAAAGGCTTCTCCCAGGTTTAACACCCTGCCTTTTAGTTTTTACTGGTTGATAGAACTTTTAAGGTCCTTACCTATGAAACCTGTTTCTCTAGCTGTAATTTTCTTCTTGGTTAATTTCCTGGTTTACAAATTTACTTAAATATTTATTTAATATATTTATTAAATATAGAAGAATTATCTGTGATAAAACTGAGTTACTCTTGAAGTTGGGTAGTACAAAGTGATGCAGTTTAGATAGCTTTATAGAGCTTTATATTTCAGTTCTACCTTTGACAAGCTATGTTTATATTACTTAACCTGTATAAGCCTCAGTTTCCACACGTGACAATCAGGGATATTACTATATATAAAACTGTCATATCCAGCAGGTTTGAGCCGGGGGTGGGGGCGGCAGGGACCTCATGGGAAGGGGGGCGTTCCGGTCCGTCCTTCACGCCCTACCGAGGTCACCAGTTGCCCCCCACGAGTGGCTCTCAGGCACGGCCACGGCCTCAGAAGCACAAGGACTTAGCGCAGAAAACCAAACGCTTAGAGCAGAAAAGCGAATGGACTATGTGTTAAACCGCACCAGCATGCCTGCCCGGAGGGGAAAGGGTGTTGCTCCATTCGCCCTGGCCTCTCTGGAAAGAAAGGTGGCGGCCGCATGGGAGCCTTGTGGACAGCAGGTTTGAGCCAGGGGTGGGGGCGGCAGGGACCTCATGGGAAGGGGGGCGTTCCGGTCCGTCCACCCTACCAAGGTCACCAGTTGCCCCCCCACGAGCGGCTCTCCGGCACGGCCATGAATCCAGAGCACAGAAACCAATCTCTTAACTATCTAACTTTTAAAAGAAATACTTCCAGGGTTAATAAGTAAAATAGCAGAAATCCAAAACCGTGTGGCTGCTATTGTGGCCGCACAACATCATTTCATTCTTAAACCCAGCTGTAGAAAGCAAATCATTTCACAATGCTTTTTCAGCATGTCTGATTGGGGGGGGGTCATAAACTCTAAATAATAATGGTGCATCTTTTATTGAAACAATAAATCTAGTTAAAGTAGATAGAGTGTTAACTAGAACTCATCTGCCTCACAGGAATTGGGAGGGGTGGGAGGTGGGGTTCTATTGGGTTTCGCGGGTAAAAATAAGTATTGGTAAAGGGAAATGTGTTTGATATTTACATGACTGAAACCTAAACCTGAAAGCTCTGTATCTTTTCCCACAGTGATTCAATAAATAAATAAATTATTAAAAAAACTGTCATATATAACAGAAGAGAATCAAGTGAAATAATATACATAACACACATATAGATATGTATATGAATTGCCAAGAAGAGAACATCATAGTTGCTCATTGTATTACTTCTTTATTAGTGTCATTATTTTATATCTGTAGTTTCTTGGAAAACAGAACAATGGCCTAAAAAATAGCACATAGATTATATACACTGGCCCTGACAATATTAATGACATTTTTTTTGACAGACATTAATGTGTACTGGCTGATTGCATCTATGGTTAAGATATGGCTTAAAATTAGGTATCATTTCCATTACATTGGCCAACTTTAATTTTCCCATAGGTTGCATATTAAGTATTACTTTGATATGTTGACTGTGATAGTTTTCCCCTCTGTTACATAGCACTAGTTGTTTCTCTTTTTTAAGCTGAGATCACATGATTTACAAAGAGAAAGCTCTCTTTTAAGCTATGGCCAGTTATAATTAAAAATGTTTAAATTTTCTAACTTTAATTTTATGACAATGCTGAAACATCTTATCTGAAAGATCAAGGAAGGAAAAAGATTTCTCTTTTAATAATTTACCTGTTAGAAAATTTAAAATAAACATTATTATAAAACATTGAAAATTACTTCCTCAATAAAGGCATATTTCAAAAATAGACAAAATATATTCATTTTTATATAATTAAAAATTGAACTTTCAAAAATATGCCCAAAGATGTTATTGAGTCACTGTCACTGTCCTCCCATTGTTCATCAATTTGCTTGAGCAGGCCCAGTAACGTCTCCATTTTGAGACTTGTTACTGTGTTTGGCATATTGAATATGTCATAGGTAGCTTGCCAGGCTTTGCCATGCGGGTGAGATACTCTCAGTAGCTTGCAGGGCTCTCCAAGAGGGCCAGAGAAATTGAACTCAGCTCGCCCGGGCTGGCTGTGTGCAAGACAAATGCCCTACTGCTGTGCTATGGCTCCAGCCCATTATTTTGAGAATGCAGCATATTTTTATGGTGGGGAGAGGTAGGAATGAACCACAGTCAGTAGTAATTAGTAGCTGGTCATGATTCTGTGTTCAGGAGGTCACTCACTGGAGATGCCAGGTACTAAAACAGGTTGGCTGCTATAATACAAGAGACTTAATCCATGTCCTAGTTCCATATTTTGAAACCAGTAACATATGTAATCATTTTAAAAACTGTAACTTTTCACTTATATAAATTAAATAGCAAAGTATAAACTATAATCAGATTCTTATATGCAAAATACATCTGTTTTGTCTTTAATTATTAATCAGCATTTGGTGATACCTTATTGTTAGCTAAGGATAGTGGGTTCTCCTATAATATGAAGTTATTTTAATCACTGTTGTATTTCTGAGTCTGAACCAAAGCTGTTATAGAACAAGTAATATGAAATATGAGTCATAATAAGTCATGCTAATTTGCATTAAGACTTGCTAATAAGCATAACATTATTTAATATATTTTATTTCATTATCCTCTTACTGATTTTCAGGTACATACAGAGGTGAGAAAATGAGTGTGAGATACCTTTTTGATATTCTGATAGTATTAAGTCCTAAAAGCAAATATTTAAAAACACTGTCTCTATGTGTCACTTCTAAAAAGTGACTAAACCTATGAATGGTAAGGAACACTTTGAAGCTGAAAAAAGGGCACACCAAGGTTGATACAGTGTTCCAACACCGATCCTCCACCAGTGCACATTTCCCAACAATGTCCCGGGTTTCCCTCCAACCCTCTCCTAGGGGGCGGAGGAATCCAACACCGCTCCGCCAGGCCGGTTGAGCGCCAAGACAAACCCCCTACCGCTGTGCTATCCCTACAGCCCTGAGTATTAAAATACATTTTACAATCTGAAGCATTGAACATACAAAATGTAGTAGATGTTAATATTTATGAACTACTGTCTGGAATGTGGTAAAGGACAAGTTCTAATAAAAATCATGAAATAGGAGCCAGAGAGATAGTACAGCATGCTGCGCACTTGACTCACACACAGCCAACCTGGGTTCAATCACAGGCATCCCAAACGGTTCCCTGAGCATCACCAGAGGTGACCCCTGAGTGTAGAGCCAGGAGAAACCGCTGAGCAAGGTAGGTGTGCTACCCCCAGAATTCCCCCAAGTCACAAAATAGACAAAAGTTTAAATATTGTAATTTAAATCTTAGCAAATTCAAGCATTTTTTATAATTTTTTACTAATTATGAGAATGAAGACAACATATTTATTAAAAGGGCAGTAGTGAGTACACTGTGTATTATACATTCAAAGTATTCATAATGGAGTCTAACACTATTCTTATCTAAATATTCCTGCTTTCTTTCTTTTGCTTCCAAGGATAAGGCTGGAAGGCACTTTAATAAATTATTAATTAAAAAAAACTGTATTGGTCATCCAGAAAAACTTCTGACAATAATACTATGAAGAATCCAAAGGCATTTTTGAGGGCATAGTTGTTCGTACTCTACATTCACCTATGCTTGAATGCGTTTTCTTAGTTCAGCTGCAATTTTTTCCAGTTGTTGAATGTTCCAGTGCCACTGTCTTCTATTTGACTGAAGCTTGTTCACCTGACAATGCAAACGCTTAAGTATTGCACTGTATCTCTTATGCTGTACCTATTAAAAGAAAAGTACATGTCAATTGGGCTTGAGAAGAATAAACAGAAAATAGCCATCAAAGATATGGGGGCTACCTACCCCAAAGAGAACACTTGATTAGAAATTATTCACTATAATAAACTGTTAATAAAAACAGATAATAATTATAACTATCCAGCACTTATTACATGTTACTGTGCTGAGAACTTTGTACATATAGTTTGTACATATAGTAAAATTCTTGCTCACTTATGTGGAGAACAATATTTCGTATAAACATGTAAAATATCAAAGATTAACTTATCAAAATAGTAAAAAAAAGTTTCATTTTCTATATTCAGATGTTCACTGCAATTACAGATATATTGATCTGAAGAAAAATCTAAATCACGTAGTCCACTCCCCTGCCACTAAGACAGTATTCACAGGGAGACAGACAATGCTATTGGAAGTCAATGAAACACACAAGGAAAGTGCAAGGGCTTTGATGTTAGGCTCACGAGGAAATAGAAACAATTTTTTTATTTTAGTGTTGATTCTACAAAGAACACCCATTTAAAAATTTTTTTTTAAGAAGAGAATTCAACTTTGTAAGTCACGGCTCTTTAATAATTTTTTTTAAAAAGAAATCAAATGCCATACAATCAACCTTTTTAGTATTTAAATCCATCTTTAAATATTGTAATATTAAAACTTCATGGTATTAATATGCTCAATTGTCTATTATCACAATCAATTTGATGTCATTTTCGTTATCACCCCATCTCCTTGAAAACAGAATCCGTTACCAATAACTGTCACAATTCTTTTTAGCACTAAGGAACAAATAATCTGTTGTCTCTTTCTATAAAGTAGTTCATACAGGTAGAATCATACAATATGTGGTTTGTGGGGCTGGATTATTACACTTAGAATCTGTCATGTTTGTAAGGGTCATCCATGTTTCAGTACATATCAGTTCATTTATCCTTTTTGTTGCAAAATAAAATTCCATTGTATAATTTGCCAACTAAAATTTGTACATATAATTAAATTCTTGTTCACATTATGTCAATAACCATATCCCTGTTATTGTATAACATGCCACTTTTTAATTATGTATTTCACCATTTGATGGACGTTTGAGTTACCTTCACTTTTTAGCAATTATAGTACTTCTATGGAACATTCATGGTGTGTGTGTGTGTGTGTTTTGTGTGTGTGTGTGTGTGTATAGATGTTTTCTCTTCCCTGGGGGATGTACCCTGGAGTGGAATTAATGGGTGATAATAATATCCCTATGTTTAACCATTTAAGGAACTTCCAGATTGTTTTAAAAGTTTTGAAATGTTTCATACCTTTATACATTCCAAGATCAATGTGTGAAGATTACAATTTTTTCATATCCTAGGGTTGGAGTGATAGTACAAAGGGTAGGGTGCTTGCCTAGTATGTAGACAGCCTGGGTTCAATCCCAGTCACCCCAGAAAGTCCCCTGAGCACCCCCAGGAGTGATCCCTGAGCACAAAGCTTAAGAAAGCCTTAAACATACCAGATGTGCTCCGTCATTAAAAGAGAGAGAAGGAAAATATTCACTATTATCTTTATTTTTATCATAATACACCCTATTGTGTGTGAAGTTTTGTTTTAAACAAATAACCAAGAAAAAAAAGAAGAAGAAGAAGAAGAAGAAGAAGAAGAAGAAGAAGAAGAAGAAGAAGAAGAAGAAGAAGAAGAAGAAGAAGAAGAAGAACAACAACAACAACAACAACAACAACAATAACATGACTGGGAAAATTGCCTATTTATTTCTTTCTAGGGTGCCAGGGATTTAATCCAGGGTTTCACACTTGAGAGACATGCCCCCATTCATTTTGTAAAAGTCTTTTTTAAATTCATTTTTAGTTAAATGTTTGTAGAAAACACACAGTTTTACCAAAATTTACCATTTTAACCAATTTTAAGTGTAAGATAAAATAAAAAAAAACAAAAAAAACAAAGGCCCTCCCGTTGATCGTCGATTTGCTCGAGCGGGCCCAGTAACGTCTCCATTGGAGACTTTGTTGTTACTGTGTCTGGCATATCGAATACTCTCGGTAGCTTGCCGGGCTCTCCGAGAGGGGCGGAGGAATCGAACTCGGGTCGGCCATGTTGGCCGCTTGTAAGGCGAACGCCCTACCCGTTGTGCTATCACTCCAGCCCAGATAAAATAATATTAAGGATATTTACATTATTAAGCAAACAAAACCACCTTCCAATTGTAGAACTTTCACTTTGCTAAACCAAAACTTTATTTCCATTAAACAAAAGTTTTGAATCTTTATATTCAGTGCCCTAAACCCTACCAATCATCATTCTTCTTTCCATGTATATGAATTTACTATGTCAGGTTACCATAATTCTATAAGTAGAACCATAGAGTATTATCCTCCTGTGGCTAATTTATCTAATTTAATATAATGTTCTTAAAGTACATCCATGTAGTACCAAGTAAAAATGTCCTCCCTCTTTTAAATATGAATATTTACTGGTGTGAAATATTAAATATTGTTTATTCATTCATCCACTAGAATTGCTCTTACTTTTTGATTATACATGCTATGTATAAACATGGATATATAAATATCTATATTAGACAAATATCTATGTTTAGACTTTTATTTCAGTTATTCTATTTTATATAATCAGAAGTAGAATCTTGGGTAATATAATTCTATTTTTATTTTGGAAACCCCCATACTTTATATAATGTGGTTGTACAAGTTTCTATTCCCACCTGCAGTGTATGAAAGGGTCTAATTTCTTTGCACAGTGGAAAGCAGTTGTAACTTTTGCTTTTCTTCATCATAGTAAAAACTCACTTTTATGTTTTGTTAAGATGATTCTTTTTTTGGCAGTGCCAAGGACTGAACCCAGGGCTTTATGCTGCAAGACACTAGCACTGAGCCACATCTCTGTCCCAAAACATCCCCTTCAAGAATAAGGAGCTATATAAATTACCTCTTTGTTTATTGGTTTGAGGAAGTGCTTTAGCAGGTCAGGAAGATAGTGCTAGGTCAATTTAAAGAAAGATCAATTTGTCAAAACTCCAATTTCAACAAATACTCCATTCACCAAATATAAATTTATAACCTATTTAGGCTGTTGGCAGACAAGTTTCTGGGTTTCTGGGCCCTTAAGATTCTGTCCCTGACCTATTTCTCTTTATCTCCTCCCCTTGTTTTTCTACTTACTGGGAACCAGATTGTGCTGTGCGCTGAATATTATCTCTGACTTTTCATCAGTAAAGGTTCTCTTTTTCTTGCCTAACATTTTTGCTACTCTGTGCCTTTTAAATCTTTATTATAAAATGGTTTCTTTTGATAGCATTGTGAAGACTACGGACTCCTTCTTTGAATAATATTTTAGTGCATAAAATAAGACACACAGGACTACAAAGGAAACCCAATTAAACTGAAACACAGTACTGCAACAGCAGCAGGGAAACTGGGGCAGAGACACTCTAAGCATTCCAAAAACACTTCTACAAAAACAAAGTGGGAACTTGCCATTAATACTTCACAGAAGCTGCTATAAATTTTAGTATCTTTTAAAACATCCAGTTTCTATTAATAGTACAAATTCAGATAGTTAATTCAAATTGGTTAACTAGGTCTGTTGATATGTTGGGGAAATGTAAAATGATATTAAAATTAGAAATAAATTAACATAAAATAAAACATTATATTAGATAGTAAAATTTATATTCAGAAGAATACAACGAATTCAAAAGGAGATATATTCATTGATGCATATGTAATATGATTTGTATAATATACTTACATGTGTAATGTAACAAATTATTTATGTACCCATTTTAAATACTGCAGGATATTCATATGGAAAATATAGTCATTAGATATGCTTATAGTCATGTTAGTAGTGTAATAGAAAACTAACTAGAACTAATTTTGAGTTTAATCAATATATTCAGTCAGTTTGCATGTTTGCTCATTTCAAAGTTATTCAATAATTAAGCTATTAAAGTAACTTTAAAAAAAAAGTCAGAGACGTGTAAAGTTCCCTTAGTGGGACTCTATATTACCAGTCACAGCTAGATGTCACAGAAGACATTCATACATCTAAAGGAAAAAAATATCTCATCAGAAGGAATTTGTGAAGAATATCTTAAAAATACACAAGTGAAAGTATTTCTCACCCAGGTCTTAACTAACAAATATTGCCCTGTAAAAGAGATTGGCTCAGAAGTCAAGGATGCTCAAACTCAGATGTTTGGCTTGATGTCCACGTTGACAAACCAACCATGTGATAAAGGACTTTTTTTAGGGAAGAGCAGCACTTCAAACTCAAACAAACCAGTTGGTTTTCTCCAAAATTTTTACTGTAAATCAATTAGTTTTATAATTCATACTTTTCTAAAACATAAATTCCATAATTTCTATAACATTTGAATCTTTAATTAGAAATGAATATTCCATAAAATGTATTAGCAAGTATTTTATGTTCTTCGGTTTTAATAAAACTTTTGTTTCATTCATCTCATTATCTGATTGTTTATTTCTATTTACATACAACTTGGAAATTCAGATTTAGAGATGGAACGATAGTACAGCGGTTGGCCCAGGTTTAATCTCTGGCATGCCATAAGGTCTCCTGAGCTCACCAGCAGTAGAAAGCACAGAGCCAAGAGTAAGTTCTGAGCACAGGCAGGTGTGAGCTCAAAACAAATCAAAACAAAAACAAATTCAAATTGAGGGGCCAGGGTTACAAAAATGTGCCCTGAAACTCTAAGCAAACTTAGTTTGCTGCCTGGTGCCACCTACAGGTACCAAAGTTGGTCCGGGTGGTTCTAGTCTTTGGGATACATGGCAAGTGTGTACTCTCTAGGGCATTGTGCTAATATTTTTCTAACACCACGATTAAAGTGTATAAACCCTGGTGAGTACAACGGCTAAAAAATGTTTAAGAAACATGGTCAGACATGTAAGCCCTAACAATCAGTTTTGTGAGAATCATAAGTGAAAAGACCCCCTGGAGAG